CACCTACAGCCTCAGGGACTTTACATTAAAAAGCTGGATAATATTCTAAAAATTGGTTTCACTTTTGGAAACAAAGACAATCCAGTGAAATAATAATATGATAGGGGTCATTCAATGATATATTGCTCACTGTTACTTAAATAACACTTCACACTTGCTACTTTTACTCACAGTTAAGGTTTTGAATGTAAACTTCTTTTATCACAGATAATAAGATCATCAAGGGCCTCGTGAGAAATGATCGTGTTGATGTGAAAAGCGGATGTTTTCCAGCCTGTGCACTTCCGGGTGGCTCAGCTAACGTTAGCGGTGCAGACAAACAGAAATCTCGGGACAATGGCAGCATAAGATTAGCTCTCTGAGAGGCCTGAAGATGATGAACCTGTTTATAATGATCCTGCTGGCTCCTTGCTGGGTCAACGGAGCTGTCAAGTCAAGAATTACCACCGAGGACCACCTCGACAAAAAACCGGAGTTCGGTGAGTAACTTAGCAAGCTAAGCTAACGGTAGCTTTAATGTAAATGCTAGCTCTCCTAGGAATGCTAACCGTAAACAACGACTATTACAAATTCAATGTGTGTGCGTTGCACTTCATCTCTTCTTGTAGTCAATGTCGCTGTTTGTTTAATCTGTAATAAAGTGTCGAGTCGTCAGTTCAGGCTCGCTGCTAGAATATAACCACATCACATCAAGTGAGGAGGTGGGTTTGACAGATCCAGTGGTTAGTCTGTGCAGGGACACTGTTGTGTTAGCTACTGACTCTTCTTCTTCTTCTTCTTCTTCTTCTTGTGTGTTTTCCAGATGTTCTGAACTCCTTCCTGTCAGACTTTGAGGTGCTGCCATTGTCGGGCCTCCAGCTGCACTCAGTCAGGAAGAGGGACGTCCACACCCAGTCCCACCTGGAGAGGCTGGTGAGCTTCACAGCCCTGCACAGGTACAACAGCAGCCACATGTCGGGTGCTCAACCTCAGTAGTTGTGATCCGTGCAGTAATGTTGCTTGGCAGATTCATAATGTAGTTTATTTGTGTGATGATACACAAATAAACATGTATTTATGTGTATGTATGTTTGAAAAGTAACGCCTGACAAATTTTTGGGTCCGTTATTCATATTTGCACGTTAAAAAAACGTCAATGATTCCTGACATGTCGTTATCAAACGTTTACAACAGAGCAATGTTATTGAGGCTTTAACCATAAAGTTCTTAAATGTATTCATGATCGTAACACAAATACAACCATATATATAGAGAGAGCCTGAATTAAGACAATAAACACATTTCTCTTGTGTGTATGTGCAACATAAATGCACATTGTAATGTGTCTCTAAATATTGGCCCAAAACCACAGTGTTTGGGTTAATGCTGATGTCATGTTTGCATCTTTTTTCTGACTTCAGACGTTTCAAGCTTTACTTGACCACCAACACGGACCTTTTCACAGATAACTTCAAAGCTGTGTTTGTAGATAAACATGGGATGGAGGAGAACTATGATATTCAGCTTCAGAACTACTTCACAGGACATCTTGTCGGTAAGTTACACTATAAGAATGAATGAATGAATGAATGAAACTTAATATCAGTATCAGAATCAGACGTACTTTATTAATCCCCGTAGGGAAATTATGATATGACACTTTCCTTGATCCCATGTTTCCCAAGAGTCTCAACTTGCATGTACACAACAAGTAAAATTAAAAAGAAAAAATGATATTTCATAATCTACAATCAACTTATTGACTTTATTTTGAATATCAGCTACAATGTTTTGGTTGATTAGGTACTGCTTTTTTCAGATGATACTGGCTGACATGATAGTGTGCACTTCATCTTAAGAGAGTACAGGATATGGGCTGTTGTTAGTCTTTCAATAAAAGGAACCTTACCTGCTTTTTGTCTGAAGGAGAGGAGAATTCACGTGTGCAGGCACACATAGATGGAGATGAGTTTTCTGCTCACATTCTAACCGATGAAGCGGAGTACAATGTAGAGGTAAGGAGTCATTGTAAAACCATTGTTTCTGTGGAGGGACTGACCATGCGGTTTGAAAGTTGAGAGGCAGCAGTGTTGAAGACTGTGATGAACTTATAGGCTTTACCAAAGCTAAGAAAAACCATGCAAAGAGCACATGTTCAAGGAACATACGGTAAATCCAGTGTTACGATGATGTAGTCTGTAAATCAGGCACATCATTTGTACATTTCACACAGCTGACAAGTGCCATATTCCTCCAACTCATCTGTTGTACTTTGTCATATTGGTCATACTCTCAACCTTGATACCGTCTCTGACCCATATGGTTTGCTCTTTGTGTTTTTTTCCATACAGCCCCTATGGAGGTTTATAGATTCCCCAACTGATGGCAGGTTGTTGGTTTATCGCTCTGAAGACATCAAGAATCTCAGTCGCATCGTTTCCCCAAAGGTGTGTGGTTACGTCCACGCAGAGGACATGGACCTGCAGCCCCAGACTCCTGGGAGGGACTGGGATGGGCAGGAGGTGGAACAGAAAAAGGGTGAGCTGTGTAGTGGTAACGTGAAGATAACGGTTAAAAATCTGGTGCAGCCTGCTGGTGGAAAGCAAAGAGTAGATGAAGAGTAGGAGGATGACAAATGATTAAGGTGGAGAGAAGGAGGGAGGAGGAGAGTGTAGTAGTGAGACAAAGTAGGTGGGTGTTAGATTCTGTAACAATCACTTTTATAACAGCCTTTTTTTATCTGTAAAACACAGCCTCTTTTATGCACATACACACTACTGACAAGTGGGTATTATGTAAATGCCTTTTGATTCTCTTGGGCTGTGTTAGAGATATAAAGCATATAGCACTGATAATGTGCCCAGAGGAGATTTCTATAACACCTCTCACTGGCTTCTGGTTGAAAGCACTCGTTGGGGAGATGAGTCGAGGTAAAGGTTCTTCTGGAGGAGGCATTAAAATTCATGGAGGCTTCGTGGCCCAATGAGATGACTCTGAGTTGTCACTGGTCTCCCACTTCTTTTTGTGGAAGCCAGAGCGATGCACACCCACACTCTTGAGCAGTGTAGAGTCATGTGTACAGAATTATGTTATGCTCAGGTTTCTTGTTGTCTTGATATTCGTCAATTACACATAATTCTTGAGTTGAATTTAAAAATGACCATGGACTCCAGGAAAGTTTGATGGGCATTTTATGTTTTCTAACAATAACGCTTGGCTTGAGTTATTCCAGGCTGCAGCGTGCGGTCAGTCAGCCTCATTTATTACTGTGAGAGGTGGCTGCTCGGCTCCGATAGTGTCTGGGTGACGGAGTAGAAAGTGTGTTAGTGTTAAAATATGTAGAAACAGATTTAACACATATTTGTTTTTATGGAGGTAAAGAGATTATCCTGAAAACTGCTGCTCCAACTGTTTAACTCAAACATCACTGTACGGTGTGTTTCTGAATTCTGCTTCAGTTTACAGTGATCTTCTCATCTAATTCTTTAAATATACATCAGACCTCGTTGACACTTCTCATTATGTGCTCAGGTCTTTTGTCTCATGTTAAACTTCAGCTTTATTCTGGCTTTAAGAAGGGAGGCAGAGCTTTATCAGTTCACAGGGAAACAAAAGAAGACATGTTGCTAAATGTGAAAACTAGGGCAATTAACGACGGGACACTGGAGCGTGGCCTCATTCTTTTACTTTTTGCAGTCCTTATTTATTTGTAAGATTAACCTGTTAGGATATTTTTTAAACAAACGATCATTTCCTCTTTTTGCTTGTTTTTCAGCCTATGATCTTTTTTTCTCAATGTCTCCTAATTAATTAATCTCTAAATCTGCTCCTGCTGCTTCTTGTAGAGAACCACCACAGAGAGAAAAGACAGACACACGACCACAAGAAGAACACTTGCACCCTGCTGCTGGTCGCAGATTACCGCTTCTTTAAACACATGGGCCGTGGACAAGAGAGCGTCACTCTCAACTACCTGGTCTGACTTTATGATCATATGCGCAAAACATAATTCATTATGGAAGAGAAACATGTAAAGCTTTAACATGTATTCTTCGGGTGTTAAATTAATTATCTCCACTGTTTAGTTTTACATCCCAAAACAGACCAAACCTGTAATCTATTATAAGTATGTTTAATATACTATAACAGTGGAAAACCAATTCTAGTGTTAATCATTCCTGCTAAGTAATTTATTTTTCTTTTCACTTCAGATTGAGCTGATTGATCGAGTTGATGACATTTATAGGAACACAACATGGGATGATGAATTCACAGGCTACGGGGTTCAGATTCATCAGGTGTGTATAGCTGTCTGTGTGTTGTATGATGTTCCATTCGTACACCAATTTATAGCATTTAAACATCAAACATTTTACTGCTCCCAGCAGCACAACTGCTTTGTATTACATCAAGTCACTCCTGAGAGTGAGGCTGAGAATAACAGTCCTGCAGAGTTTGAGAGCTGCATTTTTCTGAGGAACTGAAAGCTTTTGTGTGTGGCTTGTGGGGTAATTGAATTTGTTCCACAGGCTGTGGGAATGAATGGAGACACTGTTTTCATATGATGAGTTGTGGGTTTCCTCACTGAAAAGATAGGCATTCATTTAGCCTTTAACTTAGAGTTATATTCCAATTCTCTTCACACTAAAGTTGAGAGGAACTGTCTTATATATATATGTATATATGTGTGTCATACGTATTATAGCTGTATAATATAATATTTATTATGCATTTTGAAATCTTGATCTTAAAAATGTAATAAAATAAAATCATAAAATTGTGTAATTAACATCCTTGGTTACTGTTCTCAGATGATTATCAACAAGGAGCCTACAAAGCCTCCCCCTGGCAGTGCTGGCATCGGCTGGGTCCACTATAACATGGAGAACAGCTCTGTGACAGGAAAAGAGGTGTGGGACGTGAAGCGACTGCTTGAGGTAGGAGAAGGAATCAAAGAGACAGAAAGGTCAACACATAGACAGACAGAATGTCTAGATATAGGCATGAAGGGAGAGGAGGTTTGGGAAATGCAGTGTGGAAACTTAAATTGGTTCAAAGTATGAAGAGTTCACGCAAATGTTTAAAATCCTCCACACTGCTGCACCACCCCTCACCTTAGTAATGTAGAGGATTTGTTGTTGTTGTTGTTGTGAACGCGTCTGTGGAGAGAATCTCCTGCTGCGTTGTGCGTGTGTGAAAGGCAAACTCTGGGTAACGTCTGGAGCCAATTCTCCTGCTTTTACCCACAGATCATGTCTGTACAGCTTTAATGAAAAATATTTTGCCATTACACTGTATTTATCCTCATGGAGATAGACTCAATGCATCTGGTTTCTATGAGATAGATGTAATTTAGTTTTATTAATGTCCTTTTCTTTATGGGTTTTGTTTTTTGTTTAAATAAACCTAATTTTGACAGATTCTACAGTTGGTAGATAATATTTCCTCTTGTTCCCTCAGCAATTCAGCTCAGACATCGCTGGCAACGCCTCTCAGGTGTGTCTGGCCCACTTGTTCACCTACCAGGATTTTGATGAGGGCACATTGGGGCTGGCCTACGTGGCCCCCTCTAAAGCTCAGGCCCTTGGAGGCCTCTGCCCCAAACGTAAGAGCACAATGACAATTCTGTATGTAATGTCATATAATGTCTAAATAACAATGTCAGTGAAATATTGTGTGTGTTATGTATAGAGACTATTTGTTTCTATAATATATATAGATATAATATTAAATCATTTTAATTCATGGGAAGCGAGGGTAGTAGTGTAGATTTAGGAATATTGATCTGGGGACTTGGAATATTTTCACAGGATAAAGTTGAAGCCGTCACATTTAAAAGGGAGAGCTGCTAGTGTAAACCTTTTGAAAAACTAAACAAACTCTTTCTCTGATTGTCATTTTGTAGCTTACTACCCGTCTCACTCCATCAAGAAGCCCAGTTACCTTAACACAGGCTTGACCAGCACCAAGAACTACGGCAAAACCATCCTCACAAAGGTCTGTTTTCACTTCATTCTCAACCGCAGTCTGTGACAAATATAATTAGTGGGTGCACTCGGTCTCAGTCAGGATGTTATGCAACTTGTCCACCTGCCAAATTAGGATTGGAAGTAGAGCAGACACTCCTTTTTGTGTGGGTGTTATGAGCGATGATTCTACCCCTGTTGCATTTTGACACAGTGACAGTGTGTTGAATGCTTCACAAAATTGAATTCTTTCAAAGTGCACCCTACTTTTGCTTGCTTGTCCTGTATTATCACCCCAAGCTTTATGGATAATTTATGTTGTCTTTATGTACAAGAAGAGATGTGTCCGTTTTAAACGATATATCTGTTAATACCTTTATGGATCCTTTACCCTGGCAAAGTCTCTCCTACGAAAGTTTCACCATTGTTGAAATGGCCCTAGTACTGCTTTGTTTTGTTAGCTCTTAGAAGATGTGCACAAATATGGAAAAATGTAATATAGATTATTTAATGTATAATCCAACATTGAGAATAAATAAGCCTTTGATAAATCTGGTGTGTTTGTATCTCATCAGGAAGCAGATTTGGTGACCACTCATGAGCTGGGTCATAACTTTGGAGCAGAGCACGACCCTGACAACATCCCTTACTGTGCTCCCAGTGACGACCGCGGGGGGAAGTTCGTCATGTACCCCATCGCTGTGAGCGGAGACCATGTCAACAACAAGGTACTGACAAGTCAAAAACTGCATTTAACCTGAACACGCAGTGTGATCGTTATGTAAAAGTGAGTCACAGACACACTTGCGAAATGTGACAGACAGTAAATGTACTAATAGGCATAGGACTCTGAAAATGCTGTTGATGATCTGTTGTGGCTTGTTCTGCACATGATCCTCTTCTACATTTCTACCAGGGTTTTAACCTAAATCTTAAATCACATCAATATGAATGAATACGACTTCATACAAAGGCAATGAAACTGTTGATGTGGCTGTAAATTCATGCTTGGCTTTGTCAAAAATAAAACATTCCTCACAGGTAAAAATCCCATTGTTTCACCAACATTCTGTACATTGTATTTTATTTAGAGCTACATATGTCTGTTAACATTTTAGTTTAGTTTCATGGCAGCACTTTCTCTCCATCTCCTCGGCATCCACCGCCAGCTAATATCTAACCTCACTCTACTTCTCCTTTTTTCCGCCTAAAGCGTTTCTCCAACTGCAGCAAGATCTCCATTGGAAAGACATTACGTTTCAAGGCTCCAGCGTGCTTCACGGAGAGGAACAGTAAGGTATGCGGGAACTCCAGAGTGGAGGAGGGGGAGGAGTGTGACCCCGGGCTACTCCACCTCAATGATGACCCCTGCTGCTCCTCCGGCTGCAAGTTCAAACGTGGTGCGCAGTGCAGGTATGTTGCCCAAAAGATCCTCCACAAGAAAATGTAGAAAACCAAAGCCATCGATTATAAATACACACAAACATCGGGTTCATTCATTGAACTTGACATAATGAATCAGAATATGTTTGTTGCTAGTGAGATTCACATGTCCTTCTCTCCACAGTGACAGAAACAGTCCCTGCTGTAATGAGTGCATGTTTCAACAAGCAGGAGTGAGATGTCAGGAATCCATTAATGCCACCTGTAAAGGCATATCGTCCTGCACAGGTGAGCGCCACCTGCTGGTTTATCACGAGAGCTGCAGCATTCACTGAAGGGCTGTTTGCTGCGGTGTTGACCACCCTTTTTTATTTCAAGAAAATACAATGAAAAACTATATCTCTTCCATTCTTTGACATCTTAGGCAACAGCAGCCAGTGTCCACCTCCTGAAAATGCAGCTAATGACACTGTGTGTGTTGACAACGGCCGCTGTCACAATGGAGAGTGTAACCCGTTCTGTGAGGCCATGCAGAAGCTTCAGTCCTGTGCTTGCAATGGTAAAAGATGTTGTTTCGTCTCAAGAGCAGGGGAAACCCTGCAAGAGCCCCAAACTGATAAAAGCTGACTTAGATGATCTGTTTCAGAGATGTGACTCTGGTGATTTAAGAGCTTCTAAATGGAGGTTCTGAGATACTATTTGAGGAAAAATTATAATCACGTACAATCCTAACTTTGGGGAGAACACTTTGTTTTTAGTTTAGATTAGAATTTAATCTTTGAGGTTTTGGAGGATAAATTATCAAACATCAACCCACAAGCATTTCTCCTGCATACTGAGGCTTGAATCCTAAAAATGCAGGTACATTTCTGCAGTATAAACACTGGTTGTTTACCACATGGGAAGTTTAGTTTAGATGTTTTGGCAGATAGCAGTATTGTGTCAAAAAGGGACCATACAAATGCTCAGCAATCACCTTAATCTGTTTAGCTCGGTAATCTCTGAATGAGTTGCCTTTGATTAAATATTGTTATTTCTTTTCTGAAAGCCAAACTGAAGGACAAAACATTTTTACATAGTTATAGAAATAATCTTCTCTCTTGTTTCTAGAAACGGAAAACTCCTGTAAAGTGTGCTGCAGGGGATCAGATGGCCTGTGCTCTCCCTTCGTCCAGGCCAATGGCAGCTTGCTTTACCTTCGTAAAGGAAAACCGTGCACTGTGGGCTTTTGTGATGAGGGCGTGAGTCATCAAACCTTTTATTTCTGTCAGATCTACAAACAGATTAGTCCACCATCTTAACACAGTCCTGCTCTGAAGTTACCAAAGTGTATTAGTGTGACAATGACTTAATGCTTTGAGTTCTGATTTTTCTCTTGTTAAAACAGGGAAAGTGCATGAAGCAGGTGCAGGACGTCATTGAGAGGTTGTGGGATTTTATCGACAAGCTGGACATAAACACGTTTGGTAAATTTGTGAAAACAAGATGCTTTTAAATTTTCACAAGCATGGCAATGTGAAATACTAAGAAACATTTCAATCATCACCAACGTTACCTCTCCACCAGGAAAGTTCCTGGCTGATAACATCGTGGGCTCAGTTGTGGTGTTTTCCTTGGTCTTCTGGATTCCTCTCAGTATCCTGGTTCACTGTGTGGTAAGAAACTGGTGGACATCAGTGTTCCCTTGCTCCCAGTGTCGTCATTGTGCCAATAACTGCTCCTTTTTGGATTTTTATCTCTGTGGTTTAAGTGTGATCTCCTCTTCACCGACTGCAGTGATGATTTTAATTATTTGACTTTGTGTTGACAGTGCTGTCCTGTTTCTTTTTGCAGGACAAACGACTTGACCAGCAGTATGAGGAGAACACAAAGACTTTATACTACAATCCAAGTGTAAGTTCCTCACCTCTATTACTATTCTTTTTTGAATCCTGTGCATTAGCCTTGCTGCCACTCTAACAAAACTAATACAATCCCAATGCTTTTTGAAAGCACTGACATCTGTAACAAGGAAAGTGAGCATGAAGGTTCATTTTTCAGGATGAGATATTTTCCTTCTCTCTGTCTGTTGATTTATCACTTTTAAAAAAACCAGGTGTGACAACATGTCCATTCAGACACAACCCTGCTGAGATGAAAATGAAGAAAAAATGATTATATAATAACTATACAATTATTTTTAACACCAAGATCATCTCTGCTGTTTGGCTGTGGGTGAAGAATGCTTTAAAAAAATGTCATGTTATGAAATGTAGAAAATCAAGAAACTTTAAATGGCTTAATAACCTGCATTTATTTATTATAATGGTCTTGAACATTTTCTCAGTTTAGTAACTATGATGTGAGATCAGAAAGAGAATTGGGATCTGTTGTCTATGTTCTTTTCACTGGTTTGACAGGAACTTAACTTTGATTGTAGCTCATTTAGTCGTAGATTTTCCCCTTTAGACAGATAAAAAAATATATGTTTTGAATAATAATCTCCATCATTGAAAAACTAGCAGTCTATGAAATGAATTATTGTTCCGAAGTTTAACTGCTGGACATAATGATTCTACGGCAAACTAGTTTACGTTTCACTTCAAACAATGATTTGCTTCTGAACAGTTGTGATATCAGAGGATCCTGTTTGTATGAACACATCACACTGATATTTAAGATGAACACTGTCATCCTCCATAGCAGATAAATGAAAACACAGTCACTGTCAAACTGTGCATCGTTCAGCACAGTCACGGTCAAACATCCAAGTGAGGTATCAATAAGCAAAATACATCATTGAGTGCAGCTGAGGATTTGAAAGAAAAAGGTTTTCAGGAGCTTTTTGATGATTGGCATCAGCAATTCTTTAGTTTGTAATTTGCTAATTTTATTTTTTATCTAATGATGCTTCTTTTCTGTTTGACACACATCAAGTGCTACTACAAAAATCTTTCTCTCAGAGCAGACGCAACTTTTCAAACATCATTGTTCAGGAGTTTGGACAGATCTGGTGCTGAATGAGCTCACAGAGCTGAACGTAGAGAACCTTTAGCTTTAACACGAAGCAGTGTAAACCAGTGGTCAGGTTATATGTCTGTAATGGCCGCACTGTCTCTGCTGGGTTCAAGTTGCAAATGACCTGTCCATCACTCTTTGCCTTGGCCCTTTCTGTTCTCATCGGAACTGCAGCAGATGGTGGAGGTTTGTAGTAGAGCTCCCGCCATAGGTGAGTGCGTGTTCTACGGCTTGGTGTTGCGATGCGTTGCCATCCATGAGGATGCATGGTCAGTGGCCCACGTTTGGGATACTCCTGCTGTCAGTCACTCCTTGATGTAATCACTGATCTGGCTGCACATTCCCAGCCTTCAAGCTCACTCAGGTCGTTGATCTGAGAGGGTTTGACTTAGAGACGGTCAAACTAAAACTGTGACTTAATGGCTGCGAGTCTGTTGCTCTGCACAGATGTCATCAGTGCAGAGTCGTCATCGGATCAGAAATTACCTCAAGAAAGCAAGAGTGCATTTGAGGAGTATTCAAACAGAGAGAGGACCCATCAGGTTGCACCCTCTCGTCTTTTTGTGAAAACGTATGCAGTGTGTCAGCATTTTACGTTTGCATCTGCTGCTGCTCTAAGCCACAAGATGAGAGTAATGTCCTTTAGGGGATTGTTTCTGTTCTTTAATTGTTTTTCAGTCGTTTTTCTTTTTGTAATTTGCTGTTTGCACTGTGTCGACTCGTTTGTTAGGTTTCATTCAGGACATGTGGAGACTGAGGACACATTCCACTATAGATTTTTCTCACAGCAGACATTTTGAATAATAAATGGTAATAAAAGAAAAAGCCCAGGTTCTAATTACATTAATGACAGATTACCTGACTTAACTCAACCTGTAAGTGAGTCCAGTTGCTCCATATCAGGGTCCTGGTGCCTTTAAATGGACTGCAGACATTATTAGTAACAGTTACATTTCTGTCTGTGATTGACGACACAGAATGTCCACTGTGAGGAAGGTTTACTGTTTCACTCATTCCCACTTTTACTGGTGTTGAGAAAGTTAATGGGGTGGAGCTAAGTGATGTTTATTAAGATGTTCTTTAGTATATTTGGAATAACATGAGGGTATAAGAATAAAAGGACTGTATGTCACATTGTTAAAGTTAAAGGATGATGAGAAATATGTGATGTAATTTCCTCAGAATGTAGTTAAAAAAACCTCAGTCAGAGACTCAGTGTTCTGCTTTGATGTGGTTCTGACTCACATGTTGTTTTTCACTCTTCAGAGTCAAGAAATGCTGAACCTCGAGTCAGTGTCAGGCTTGCACATCGTCAAAACTCCTCAGCCTCCCTACTCCTCCACCGGCCGGACCGCGCCCTCCTCCCTGCCCCTGCGGCCTCATCAGCTAAGCCAGGTCGGGGCCCCTCCCGTGGCCAGCAGCAGTACCCTGGTCCCCGGCCCGAGTTACGACCCCACCCCGGACAGCGCAGGGGGGCTGCGGATGGCCACCATCCAGGAGGACACCAGCAGCGACTCTCACCTGGGAGAGGAGGGCCTGTCGGAAGATTTCACAACCGCAGGAGCCTGCTCGTCGGCTACGAAGTCCTCCTACGAGGATCTGACAGAACAGAGCCTGCCGGCCAGGGAGCGGCGGCGCCTCCAGAGGCAGAACTGCATTGATACTAAGGAGACCGAGTGCTGAGTAAACAATCAGCATTATAGTTTTTTTTTTTAAACCTTTTTTAGAGGTAAAATCTTAAAAATGTGGGGAAATGTTCTACCTCACAATGTTAAAGAAAGTGGAACAAAACCCTGGGTCTGCCCCCTCATCGAAGTTAATGGCTTCTCATTCTGCCCATACACCAAGATCAATAAAATCTATTGTGTACTTTTTGCCTAATCCTACAAACACAGTCAAATACCAATGAAAACAACCCCCCCGAAGGTCATTGTCTTTTACATTCTAACCTATTGACTCATTGGTTTCTGATAATTAAATTTAAATCCTAAGAACAAAGGACATGAAAACTAAGGACATTGATCCCAAGGCTCTGTCTGCTTTTGTCTGTGTGTTTTGTTTAAAGTTAGCTGTGATGTGGACCATAAGGAAAAAAGGCCTCGTGTTTACTGTGTCGATCTCGACTTTCCCGCTCAACAAGCTTGCGCACAAAGTTTTACTCTTACTAACTTGTAACGGGTGAAATATGTTAATATTATTGATGTTGTTGCCGTGGTTATTTACCCATAGTGGGAAACATTTCAGTGCGACCTAGCAAACACAAAGAAAACCTGTTTTAAAAGACTTATTTTAACTGCACTTGAAGTTTTTTTCACATCAGCAGAGTTGAATTCAGTTTTGTACATGTTCTTACTGTTGTGTCATGAACTGATGCTTTGACAAATCACAGGCCTCTTGTTTTGACCCTTTTGTACCTAACCTACTAATCCTGTGCAAGGAACGAGCTGAAGTTTCTTCAGCGTACCACTTACTGTATTTGTTCAGCTGTTGAAACTGAAACAGAATGTTAGTATCATTGGGTTTTTTGTTTGTGTGTGACTGATATGAAAAAACATGGTGCCTTCTGAGATTTTGTGCCTCGCCGTTCCAACCCGTTTTAGTGAAAGCAGACGAGAATATTCCCGGTAGACAATCCTGAAATTAATTTTTAAAAGAAATAATCTGATATTATATTATAATCATCAGGTATCACGTTTCCACTTTGTTTTCTATCCTCGTGCCAATGTGAGTTCTAGCACCTCTTTTTTAAAGCTGTCACTGTTGCCTGCTGTTTTATGTTATGATATTAAAATGTGTATCTAGGTTGAAAATGAGCCGACTGTGTAGGTAACATAAGCTCAATTGGATGGTTGTGATCTGTGACACAACTAGAAAATGTTTGTGTGTTATATTCTGATGTTTATATTCTTTGTTTCTTTATCTACAAATAGTCACCAGAAACTTCCTCTTTTAAGTTTCATGCTTGCATCACATCTCAAAATAAAAATCTTTATTGTGCATTTTGAATATTAACACTTGTTCTTGTGTTGAACATCAGAGCTGTGTCAGTGGTTCACAACAGGAATGCAGTGCAGTTTCAGGCTCTCTTCCAAATATCAAGTCCACAGGATTTTAAAAAAAATCTTACTAATGTGCTTCGTCACTGGTCACAGAGCAGGCTGCTGTCGGGGCTCTTGGCGTCCACGTCTCCCCAGTAGGGCAGGATGAAGGGCAAGTGGGCCACTCGGCTTTCCAGGAGCCCCCACAGGTGCTGGGCCACAAACTGGTTCCCTTTCTCTGAGAGATGGAGTCCATCAGACAGGTAGACTGTGAAGTCCTGCAGATCATAGCACAAGCAAAGATCTCATTTGTAATGTTTTTGAATAATCTGATCATCAGCGGGTGATTATTGGTTTAGTCAAAAAAATGACGTCATCTTCAAATGTTTTATTATGCTCAAATAAATCCAAAGATATAGTTAGTATAAAACTTAAAAAACACGGCTTATTCTTTTATTTTGAATGACATGGGGGGGAGAAGCTGCAGGAACAACTCCTGCTGCACTGCTCACCTGTCCATCTTTCTGCATGAGTGTCCAGAGGTCCAAGACGTCTGTACCGCACTGACCGGCGGCCTGAACACACGCCTGGGCGTACTGCCCTGCTACAGAGTTGAGGCGATTGAGAGGACATCCTGTAGGAGACGCAGGGAGACACTTGTGATCTTTGTAGGTCTGGAGACTTTGACAATAAATGAACTAGAGAGAAGAAGACTTTGTGTTCATGTGTTACCTTTCAAAATACACTCCTTCTCCCAGGCTGGCTCGTGAATGGGTGGGGGGGTGATGAAGATGACTCTGTCTGCTGACACTCCAGCTAAAGCCAGAAGCTGGGTGATCTCCTTTAAGTTCTCTGAATACTCCTGCAGAGGGATGTGCTGCTGCGGGTTTTTATCTGCATGACAGGAACAGACAGAAAACCTGAAATATCGAAAACATTGACAGGACTTTTGTGTGATGTAATTAGAGTAACAGTCCATTTTGATTAACTAATGAAGCTTCTACTTTACTAAAGCTTTAAAATGCAGTGTGAGACGTGGAAACATTTCAAAAGTGGTACTCCATCAACTAGTGTTGTGTTTCCATAAAGTTTAAGGACTTGCAAGAGATAGATTACAGTAAGGAATTAAATCTAAGCAGCTACGGTCGACTCAAACTTTTTGCTATACTGAAAAAATTACAAAATAAAGAAATAAAATACCGGTACATGAAAACCTACATTTTACCAAGTGTGAAGGCAAAAAAGAAATAAAAAAACTACAGATAATGGTGAGAGCTCCAGAAATATTTCACAAACGCTTGACACTTGTGAAACAAAACCTCCAATTTGCTTTGATTAATAAAATCAAACGACAGAATTATTACTGGACATCTGACTGTGCACCAATAAACTAAACAGACTTGTACACTGTGTAAGTCTAGTGATGGGTTTCCTGGTTGCATCTCCATGGTTGTGTTAACAAACTGGGCAACACAACTGTGTTATCACTCTGTATCATTCTCTCAGTGATGAGCAGAACAACATGAACACTCATGTGACCAAATGTGGGGAACTTTGCCGTGACTAAGTAAATGGTTTATGGTCACAGATGAGTGGAAATTCAGTTTCACAAAGGGGTTAGTTAAAATTATAAACATCAGTAAAAAACAAAAGTAGTAAATAAGTAAACATGCAATATAAAAACAGGGAAAATATAAAAAATAACAAATTATACAATATGACAGAACATATACCACGTTTGTAAGATTGCACACATGAGATATTGATTTTGCACAGAAAGAAATCCAACATTTCACAGGTCAATCAGTTCAATGGAGATATACTGCAAAATCTGCCCTGCCCCTTCACACTGGAGTACAGGGAGTGATCTGCTGGAGTGAGTCTGTACCTCTCTACATACAGTCTATGGTCTGTACCTTCCAGTGAACAGTCGTTGGCTCCAAAGAAAACAGTGACAGCAGCGATGTTGTTGTTGATGTTGTTGTCTGAGCTGCAGCTGCTGATCAGACGAGGGACAACGATCCTGGCCCATCTGGAGTTGTACCCGGACAGTCCTCTGTTCACCACATCACACTTCCTGCAGCGGAAACATCCGGACATCAGACGGAAAACTTCCCACAGCAGATGACAATATAAGAGAATAACTCACCTCGCTAACTTGTTAGCAATGTCTGCTCCCCACCCGTTGGGCTGAAAGGAGAACTGAGAGAAACCACTGCGGGTTTATTCATTTCAAACAGGAGCTAACAGGCTAACAGCTCATGCTAACAAACAGGAAATACAATGCGACTGTGAGAAGTGAATGTGGAATCGAACCTGTGTGATGGAGTCTCCGAATAAAATCACTTTGGGCCAAATGATTGTTTTCAATTTCGACATCACGAAAGTTCAACGCGCCACTGTCCGATCACTTCCGGTTTGTGTGACAGTGTGTCCACTTCACAATAGAAGTCTAAACATCTACTTCTGCTTAGTTGGGATCTTAAGAAAGTATTTCAGACAATCAAATCTTTTTTATTTCTCGTGCTTACATCATCATTTGCTCACACCAAGCTGTACACTCTCAGATATTGAGTAATTACAGTAAGATGTTTCATGAGTTGAGCAACTTTAAGTTGTTCATTACAATAAGTGGGTTTTGCTGTAAAGTAAAATTATGGAGTAAATGGAGGTCCAAAAAAATCTTGTAAAAAAATGGAAATAAATCTTTCAAAAAAATTATAAACAAAAACTATTGTCTATAGTAATGATTTACTTTAATAATTTAAATTAATACCATGAACACACTTTTCTGTTATTTTACTTGGTTGTGTTGAGTTTATAATTTTGTGCTGGTTTCCTTAATCTGTCCCATAATAAAAAATAATAGAATAAAAATAATATAAAATACTTTTGACTAACTACTATTGTTTCCTGTCACTTGCGGTTGACTTCTTCGTACTCACCGCTGGGGGGCGCTGCAGGGACCCGAGCTTTCCTCAGATACCCGTCTTCTTCTTCTTCTTCTCTGCCTGTAAACATGGCGGAGGTCAGGCTCTGTTTTGGGAGAGGAGCACTGGGGAGAATATACAACCTGCACCTCCGGGAGAGCTCCTTTAAACACCGTGAAAGTTTAACTCAGACCTCGTCTCTGACCTCCGGGTCTCTGTCGGGTTGTTGTACAGATGGCGGACTGCAGGGAGGTGAAAATGCGGAGGACAGAGTGCCCGGTGGAGCCTCACGGGACAGTTACACAAGTGTGACCGCGGAGCTCGGTGCTGTGGAGGATATTTGTGTAAATGTCGCTGAATATCACAGTTGTCACGGACTTAACGAGGACTCACTTAATAACAAGACCCGGGGACAGCTTACAGGAGAAACCCTCCCTCGGTGCTGGAGTCGTGCGAGGTTGAGGAGGAGTTTCTGCTCCTCCGGTGATCTCAGTCAGAGGGGGTGTTGGGGACAGTTTGTGTTTATCCGGGAGTTCGGGGACAACGGGGCTCGATCTGAGCCACTGTTCAAAACCAAAACCGGTTATTATGAAATCCTGGAGGTTTTACCCAGCGCCACTCAGGTCCAGATCAAAACCGCCTACTACAAGCAGTCCTTCATCTTCCACCCGGACAGAAACGCCGGCAGCGAGGTGGCCACCGTCCGCTTCTCCGACATCAGCGAGGCCTACACGGTGCTGGGGAACAAGGCGCTGCGGAGGAAGTATGACCGGGGGCTGCTGAGCCAGACGGACCTCATCGCGACGACCAGATCCTCCTCTTCCTCCAAGGACGGCACCGGGGGCTCCGCCACACAGCAGCCCGACAGCCGGCGGTCTGTGGCGGGCGCCGACAAACGAGGAGGCGTTTACGACTTCGACAAGTTCTTCAAGTCTCACTACAACGAGCAGCTGCAGAGAGAGAGAGACATCCGAGCCCGCAGAGAGGACATTCTGAAGGGCAAACACGAGGCGATGACCGAGAGGACGAGCAAAATGACGGAGATGTGCGTCTTGCTGCTGATGGTGATGGGTGTGGGTTTAACTTTGAGCTTGAAACGGGGCTGAGGGGGAGATGGAGGAACGTTGACCCGGACAGGGCTGCTGGACAAGGACACAGATTCACTGTGGGGTCTTTGAATTGTCACCATCCTTCACACCACTGGGGAAAACACTGCCCCTGTGGCCTCTGCTAAATGTGACCCTGTCTCTACACCTCCATAAGCTCCATAATGTTTCGTTTCAAGATAACACAGTGTGATTTTCTGTAGAACACACTGTCATCATGCAAGCTGCTAACCGAACACTGAACATTGAGCTGTAACAATTAGTCCCCTATATTGATGATCAATTAATTATCAAGTCACAAGACAAATGAGAGCATGTTCTGCCTCTCTGTATCCAGTGATATTAAAGTAAATGTTTGGTACATTTTTAGACCAAATGATAAATTGGTGATGAAAATAATCTTCAGTTGCAGCGTGCATATAAGTAAGACTCCTCCAAGTGAAGTGCAGTGCTCTTGTCACTGTGTTGAGTCAGTGTTCATCACGTGTCTGTAAAACACTTTAACGCCACATGTTTCATTACCTCCACTGTCAGATGTTCCCATGTCTGTTGGTTTGTTGGTTTGTAGACAAGATTACACAGAATCAACTCAACGAAACGTAGTGAACGATGTGGCATGGGTCAAAGAGGGAGCCACTACATTTTGTTGTGGATCCCAATCAGATGTTAGATCCAGGATTTTTTTTTTTCACTTTATAAAACATTGTGAGATGTTTCTACAGTTTCCACGGGGAATCATTCATGAATATTGATGAATAGGTATAATAAGGGAAGTGCTATCTCTGAGTGTGTGTAATTTGATGCAGCATTAAATTCGAGGGGGCTGTGGGGCCTTGGTGGAGATATGCAGTCTGCTGAGTGTCATTCTAATTCTCTACGGTTTTGTTTTTGTCTTTTACTAGACATTTGTCAGTGACATGGGAGTGATTGTCCACCGTGCCACATGTTGTTAGCATGTGATCATATGATGATAGAGGAAGATTCAGTGGTTGATTTACAAACTATTTCTTCAGTTCAGCTCCTTCGGCTTTTATAAAGTCATCTGTCTCAACAGTTTCTTTATTTTTGACCAGGGTTTATTGCAATTTATAAAATATTTATTTTATAGCAATGTAAATAATTCAGGAGCTGTAAGTCTATGCTCACATAGTGAAGATAAAGAATGTGCCTTGGAAAATATTGATTGTAAAAATCAATGGTTTGTTTTCTCCAGATATTTAAAAAATAAATGACTAATGATCAGAGCCTGTCAGAGCTCAATGAAAACAGTTGTTTGGTTGTTTCATTATTGTTTATGTCCCAACATCCTCAGTCATTAACACCAACACTGATTCAATACAAGTGACAAAATAATGGACTCCAAACACAGGTTCTTTAAAACCTTTTAGTTCAAACATTTTCCATTGAACATACATTTAGTGCATTTAGAAGTTCACAGTTAAAAGTTAACAACTTGTTTCACAAGTCAAACAAAAGCTACAGTGCAGGTAACATGTCAATACAGCTAAATTATTCATAAATACACGATAAATAAAAGTGCTAACATGAGAAAACAGAACAGAAAATAAAGTCTCTTGACAAACAGCAGCTTATTCAGTTTCTTCTCTTACATCGTCAATGCTACGTATTGTTCCCTCGATTTACAAGAGGCCTATCCAGTCTTTTCAGATTGAAGTTAAGTGGGGGTGGGACGGTTTTCGACATTAGATCAGATGTGTACAGATCAAACAGCTGCCTTGATTTGTTTTGTTAAGTGACAAATGAGCTATGGATCCTGACAGTGCAGAAACATGGACGTCAGACTCATCAATAAGTTAGACACGCTGCTGTGATCCGCAGGAGGAAATGTTATGTCGTGTTAAACACAAAAACACAAGCTGCCTGTTAACAAATACTCTTTGTTTCTGAATGTGTGCTCACTCGTCCAGTCTCCGCTCTCAGATGACCGGGTTGAGGGCGTCGTAGAGCCGCTGCACCGCCAGCTCCACCATCTCTCTCAGCGTGTCGTCCTCTGTGCACTCGTCCTCGTAGCACACCGACTGAGGAGGAAGGAGGAATTCAGTGAGAAAATAAAAACAATACTGCACCAAAACATTATCTGTGTCTCAGCTGAAAGATTCTCACCCTCGTTTCCAAGCAAATAAGAACCGTCTTCCCGTCGACCGTCACCGAGATGTTTTTACCGTCACTGAAATCCACACACTCCTCCCCAAACATGTCCCTGAAGACAGAGAGGAGACAAATCACAAAGTTCACAGGAGAAATGTTTGTCTGGAGAATTCCATTTATTTAAAATTGTTATATTGTAGGCGATGTTATAAACTAGTTAGCACAGATATAGCGTAGCACTCACTGCAGCATGACTTCTAGTCGGATTTGGAAGACGTCCATGTCCATAACAACACTCTGGGACTCCATGACTGTTAATGAAAAAAACTATCAAATCACTGCATTACAGTTTTGAAGCGTTGGTAAAACAAAAAACAATTCCTGCTGGGGATAAAACAATAAAAACTAAAAGTGTGGACAGACATTCATAGTGGGACACACAGACCTTTCTGAGCCTTCGGGTTGGACTGCACCTCCAGCACCACAGTGGTGACGGCGTCAGCGTACATGTCATTCAGAGGGTTCGCTACCCACTGAAATAAGAGAAATATGGTTTCATATTTGTGCCTCATTCCTGAGCAAGAAAGTTTAAGCAAAGAAAAGTATATTTAGCAGGAGAATGTTAATATAGTTTGAAGATTAATACATGCAAGCCAAAAATGATTTAGTTTGAGCAAACGAAAATCTATTCTGTGATCAATAAATGTATTTGCATGCTCACCATTATTCATATTAACCCCTCTCGCTCACATTGTCTCTTTACACTTTACACACACGCTCGACCCGGCACGGCCTTAAAATCAACCAATTAGAGAAGGTAAATCCTGATTAGGCTGTTTGGGGTCCAATTATATTGCTAGGTGAACTTTTGTTGTAACTTTTCTTATTTTGTTATAATGCTGTACCCACCTCCAGCACCACTATGCCGACCTCGTGGGTCAGAGTGACATTCTTAAAAAGCTTCAAAGTGTTCTTCTCAGTTCCATCCAGCTCTTCCACATCACCTGAGACAGAAAAAAATAAAGTTAACTTGGACTAAACTTATTCACACCGACAACTTTGCATAAATGGAACACAAGAGAAATTTCCGGGTCTTACCAGTGAGGTTCCTCAGATGGCAGACGAGCAGTGAGTAAGGTCCAGTGAAGGGGATGGCCTGGCTCTGTTTAACCGTGCTCATGGACAGCTCTGTGTATGCTACAAGACAGACCCATCAGATCAATACAGCTAACAGCACCGTGCACAAATAAACTGAAGAGACTATTGTAAGTGCCCTGGTGCACATAGACACATCTGGAAGAAATTCACACCAGCATCTGATCTGATCTGATTTTAAGATCTTTGCATTTTCATATTGAATTTGTCACAGTTATGTTTTGATCCCTGAGTTACTGAAAGCCGTCCTCGTCACTAACACGACCACCAGGGTTCAGGTTTCTGCTGTGGCCTCAGGTTCGAGAGTTCAGGAGAAATGAAAGCGACTCACTGGAAAGGTCGGAGGGATTGAGGATGTGGTAGTTGAAGTTCTTCTTCACCAGTATGCCTGACACCCTCTGACCCTGAGCGCACTTCTTATCCGCCAGAGAGCCCATCACCTGCGAGACGGAGCAAAGGCTGAGTCATTTTCAGTGGTGGACACAACATTTTGAAGCGGAAGAAGCACAGAGTGTCTTCAAGCCATTAAAAGCCTTAATAGAGAAGAGTAGTTTGTTGACCTTGGCCAGTTTCTCTCCTCTGAAGTTGAGGGTGACAGCTTCTGTGTTGCGAGGGTTGTGAACTTCGATGTGAACCTGGTCGTTATCCTCATACTCTCTGATCAGTGCAGCCTTCAGACGGGCCATCTCGTTCTGCTCCCCGTGGACCAGGATCTGAGAATAAACACAGGGAACTCAAAGTGCAGCCATGGTGCATTTAAGAATTTATATCTATGGGTACGAAAAGCTGATCATTTTCAAGTTATTTTCTCACCACGTGTGGTGGTTTGAGCGCCCGGATGAACTCGCTGGTCTGCTGGTAGTCGGTGTGAGCAGAGAAGGAGATGTAGTCCACTGACATCTTCAGCTGCAGCTTCTGTCCCGACATGGTGGTGATCTCCTCCGGCTCAGACATGATGTGCTGCAGCAAACACCCAACAACACAATAAGCTGCTGTTTCAATAGAATAAAACTTCTGTACACGAGTGGACTTTTATCCAGGAAACTAGATGAATCTTTGCATTTTTAAACATGAAATAACACTTCGCTGTCACTGAGCTCTGACCTTAGCGAGTGTTCCCTCCACACAGTATCCGGCGATGATGACCCCGTTTCTCTTATCAGTGCACCAGCTTTCAAAGAGCTCTCTGGACAGCCCGCTCTGCATCATACCAGGAGACGCCATCACCACGCTGGGGCCGATGTCATCGAAATGATCCATGCTCTGTGAAGAACACAGTTACAGGTCTGCAGCAGCTTCCAGGCACCAAACAAGAACGGATCCTAAAGACAGAGATGCACAGTCACAGTCTCTACCTTGAGGTTGCTGATGTGCTTGAAGACAAAAGGGTTGTTGATATTTATGGCCTTGCGGATCTTATCATTCATTGCGTTGACGTAGGTCTGATACACAGACATGCACTTCTTGGCCAGGGATGAAGCGTAGTAGATGGGAATGTCATGGAGCTCCGGGTGGTTCTGCCAGTACTCGTCTAGAGGGGAAAATACAGCACAACTTCACAGGCTTTCTGAGGGACAGACAAATAATGAAATAACGATACAAAAGACAAAAGCAACTTTAAAATTAATTAAATAAAACCATGTTCCATAACTCGACCGTACTTTAAAGATAAAATTCAGAGCAGGCAGAAGTTCATGACTTCTCACCCAGGATGAGCAGCAGTTCTTGGGCCCGTCCCAAAGCGAACACGGGGATCAAACAGCGACCTTCTCTGTTGACGATGTCATGCACGGTGTTACAGAACCGAGCTTCACGCTCCTCCCTCTTTTCATGGATGTGGGTGCCATAAGTTGACTCCTGCAGAAGGAAAAAAAACAGCATTTATCACATGAAGCTCCGTTAAAGAGAGTATTTAATGTGAATAATGACATTTTAAAACAAGGCATTCATTGCATACTATGATTAAGATGTCAGGTTTGACACTGGGGATTTCAGCTGCCATCAGATGTCGGTCTTCTTGTCGGGAGAAGTCTCCTGTGTACAGCAGCTTTAGAGGGAAGAATCGCAGAAATCTTAACGAAACTGGTTTCTATGCAGACACAGGAAATAAAACGAACCAGGACGTCCCGTAATCTGTACCTTGACTCCGGCTATTTCGATCATGAACATGGCAGCTCCCAGCACGTGACCAGCGTGGTAACACCAGAACTTGATGCCGGCCACTTCCTTCACCTCATGGAAGTTGATGGTCTCGATCTTCTCCATGCTCTCCTCCAGGTCTGACTCAGTGTACAACATGTCATCCAAAGAAATGTTGCTGCAATGCACAAGATAAATAAATTAAGTCATAATCCAGCAGAGTAGAGAAATACTTTTGAATAAGTACTTCTTCTCCTACCTGACTTTGACATAGTCCGACAGCAGCCAGCGATAGATGGCCTTGGTGGCATGGGTCATGAACGTCCTGCCTTTAAAACTGGTCTTCTGGAGGAACCAGGGCAGAGCACCACAGTGATCCAGGTGGAAACTAATCAGACGACATGTAGATAAACATCAAATGACACATCCCTGCTAGAGTAGAGCAATTTCATTTAACCAACACAAGACTCACTGGCTGATGAGCAGCAGGTCGATCTCAGCTGGGTCGATCAAGTCTATGTAGGGGAGGGCGTCCATTCCCTCCAGGCCCGGGTGGATGCCACAGTCCAGCTGTGAAAACGCAAATATCATTTGATTTGCCCAAGACAATCCACACGGTAAAACACGCCACAACAGAACAACAATAAACTAAAACAGTAACAGCAGCCTGCACAAGGTAACGACATAAAATAAATTTAAAATAAAAATAAAATTGCAAGATGTGCTCCAACAAACAGGTCTGTTTTATTGAAATAATAAGAACAAATACATTTCGTACACTTGAACTTGAACTTTATATACATCAACTTAATACTATCTTCTAATCTGACTACTGAGTAT